TTTACGTGTATAGAGTATCTGTAGTATATTTGTTTATGTACTAAAGTGTACCATATTTATTCAATTTAATTACATATATAGACGTAGATCATAGATGTAGAATTTAGACTGAAAATAGACGTAGACTTATTCAGATTTATCCCCTTACACATAAAAACAGAAACTTTTTACAAACATAATTTAATTAGGTATTATCGTGTTTTATAAACCTACTTTAGCTATTGAGCTTTTTTGTCCCTTCCTTTTGTGCTAAATTCCCAATTTGAAAGACATTGACTAGACAATAGATAAAATAGATTTGTAGGTTTTAATTTTTATAAGGGCGTGCGAGTTTAAGAGAGCGAGACTTTGTATAAAAGTAGTTTGCTTGGATACTTCTGTCTCATTCATATTTCTACCCCGCTAGTGTGTATCGATAACTGAGGCGGGAGACTACCGGATATTTTATTTTAATCGCATTAAAAAATATATTGGCAAAATTTGGCTAACATACATTAAACTGACTTAATTTGATTTAGTTTAACTAAGTTTGGCTTAATTTGACTAAAATAGACCAATTTAGGTCATTCACGTTCATACAATGTTTTTATTGTGCGGTGATTAAATAATAATTTACTGGGAGATGAAGCGATGTAAACCGGTAGATGATCAAGGTTTATTAAATGTTGTTTTTTTTTTTGTGCATGTTTTTGATGTATAATAATAATTATTGTACTCTCTTTAATTCTCTTTGGAATAATTTCACTAAAAAAAGTTAATATAGGAAACAAGCTATCTTCCGCACTCTTGCTCGCGTTAATTAGTATAAAATTGTCTTGTGTCAAGTTGGGATGTAAACAAATTTCATTAAAATCCTTTCAGCTATTTATATAGGTTCAAATCACAACTTTTTATACAACTTTGAATGGCAAACAAGCTGACAACCCACCTGATGGAAAGTGGTAACCGTAGCTTATAGACCAAGTCATCAATGCCAAAGCATTGGGGGTATTATGGGCGAAACAGTATTCTCTCCCTGGGACCCAGAACCTCGGCCGACTGTGCTTCTGCCGGGGGAAATTTAAATAATAATAATAATAACTTGCCATCTCCTCTCCTCCCCGGATATAGATGGGGAGATGTGAATGGGAGAGACGAGTTCAATCCTGTTTGGCGCTGCGTTGGCAGTATGCCGATATACCGGCGCAAAAATGCCCCGGGCTGGACGTAATATCCAAAGGGATAATATGAAACCTTGATGGGGGAAGCGACTCCGACGGTACTCTGAGAGGGTTGAGAGGTATCAACAGACAATATAATTTGGAGCGCCCAAAACTACAGCCCACAGGACAAAGACTAATAATAATAAACTCTTTGAAGCCACCTGTGGAACATGAGCGTCGCCATGCCGGAGGAAGACGTGGTTAAGACGTTGCCGCGGAGGATCGCGATCCGTCGGGCTCCGAACTGGAGATCGACGGATTGCAATAGAGATGTACAACCGGGATCACTCATATCTTAAATATATAATAATAATACTTTATTGCGCACAGAGATGTATACAAAGAGTATTTATACAGAATGTGCATATACAAATATACAGTATACTCTGTTATGTCCGTGGTACTACTCATGTCTATAGGCGCCGGCTAGCACTTTCCATCTGGTGGGCCTTTGCTTGTTTGCCATTCTAAGTTGCATAAAAAAAAATTATTCGTTTTTAGCATGCAATTTCAACACCGAGTTGTTGGGGGAAGAGGAAGGAGGGTATTGTTAGTAATATGGACTAACAGTCCCATTGCTGGCAATATACCCTATCAGGTCGCCCTCCACGTGATCCCCTCTGGAAACATTCATGCTGTATTCCAAGTGTACTCATCACAATGGGCTAACTGACCTACTTTCATCCTCACCTATCATTTCTCACTGGTGGCTTGCCAGCGTATTACATTAGCGCAGGTGGGGTTACCATTCCATTATCATCCATTAAAAGAAAAACACCAAGTTGTTAACTACTAGTCAAATTCAAGAACTAAGAATATTTTTTTGTGCCTTCCGAACCATGAAATGGCAAAATCACCAACCAAAATTGGTGGCAGCCATTTAAATAAGAATAATAAAATATTTAAATGTATTCATACCATGGACTTAATATAACATAGTTATACTAACTGACTAGAAATACAATCACAAAAAGCGAGACAAAAGCGAAATTACACTTGTGAGTGTGATGAGTATGAAATAGTGCTGCACCATGCATATTCTATTGTTATATGATTTATTAAAACTGATAAATAAATCCTAATTCAAAACTTTCAAACAACAAATAAACAACTTTTTTAACAATTTATAATCTTAAAACTTAACAATAATTTATTTGAGTATACATGTAATAAATTGTACATGTGATAATTGTTAATATTTTTAGAAAGCAAAATATCTTTATGGGCTTTACACAACATATGGACATTATAGATTTTACATTGTATTTTTAACAGACTAAATAAACGAGAGGTTTTTAATTTGATTATATTTGTTTTATGTTTGTCTCGTCAGAACTCCAGCATTTATAAATAAATTTGAAACTTTTTTATCCAAAAGGTTATATTAAAATCTGCTCAATAATTTGGTTTTTTAAATAAAATAAATAAATTTAAAATTGTGTTACGTAAATGGTTACTTAGCAAAAGTTTTTACTCTGTTGACGAATTTTTCAAGAAAGAATAGATAAATATCTAATATAGTTGTCGATGCATAAATTAAATTAATCAATTCCTGTCAAAATGTGACATTTGCATGCTATTCTGTAATGGCTAAATAGGCACGAAACTTTATGTAATGTAAGACCACCGATACCTACCCTATTTAAAGCAAATAAATTTATTATTATTATTATTATTAAAAATAACTGATTTTGTTATAATCAATGCATGAATATATTACCTTCTTAAAAACTTTTTCTTCTTCTATATTTTGTCATTTTAATGTAATTTTCCATCCTTAAAATGGAAATACAAATAACATGACAAATACCAAAACCCTTTGGTTAATAAAACTTATCAAAATCAGCTCAAATTAACAAAGATATTGTATAATAAACAAATAAAAAAATATAATTGAATTGAAAAACATTCATGTCATTTAAAAAATATAATGTATCTTTGATTTAATCTTTTAATAGAATTGATTAACTAAAAATTATTTTTAATTTATTTTTGCTTTAATTTACATAATAATTATTATAGCTGCATATGTAATGGCCTGTTGTTTTTCATCAATTTGTTGTGCAAATATTATTGATAAGATATCATGGACACTTATTGGCAATCTTTAAAGAATTATAGTTAGAATTTGTACATAATCATGTATTTGTTATTAAGTAATTTAATAATGTCATAACAATAATACTAAAATATTTCAGACATACATGTAGATCATGGAAGGGTTTTTCTGCTATTTATTTATATGCAGGTACAGCACACTTATTTCTTATTAACTACATTCACTTAAAACTAATTCCACTTCAAAACATAAAAATAATTAGAAATTGTTTTGTTCATACTCCTGCACAATCAGCTTCTAGCATATCTACATACCTATATTGTGTAATTTAATGTCCTTTTGTCTATATCACTCTAACATATGGGTTATTATATTTTCTCTGTTCTACATTATCAGTCTATATAGTTCATGTTCTAAGATTAATACCTATGGGAGTGTGGCAAAATGATTCATCAAAGTCTTATCAATAGACTTTAAAAAACAGATTCACAATTCAGTTTTATTTTTTTGTTTGTTACTTCATAACTTTGACAGTTGTAAACATATTTGGAAAATTCTTTTTTATATGAATCAATAATAAATAAATAAATGTTATTAAAATTAGTTCAACAATTTAAATTTTGAATTAAAATAATAAATCTTAATTATTTAAAATTATTAAATTTATTAATTTCTGAATGATTAAATGCTCTGATAATAAACTAAAATTGTCCTACTTATATCAAAGAATATTATGAATATAAACCAATCACAAAATAATTTGCCATTTCTTTCATTTTGCTCTTAAAATATGACAAGATATTTTTTGCAGTGACAAAAAAAATCACTAGATATTTCTTTTTATGGCACCAAATAATCTATACATATAAATAAAATTGGAGTGTCTGTTTGTAATATTGAAATAACCCTTTTTTACTACATGTATATGGATATATATACGGTACATACATCAAAATAACATTTTTTACAATTTTTGTCTGTGTATCTGTTTGTTCTGGCTAATCTCTGAAATGGCTGGACCGATTTTGACGAGACTTTTATTGGCAGGTAGCTGATGTAATAAGGAGTAACTTAGGCTATGTGTATTTTAGAAAAAATGTTTTATTCTAGAAAAATAACGTAAAGTTGCAATGTCCAAGTACTGTCCAGTACCGAGCGCAGCTCACAATGAAAATAAATAGGTATAATAATAAAAAAAACTAAAAAATTAAAGAATCGACTGTTAGGCAAAACGAAGCTCGTCGTCGAACTAGAGGAGGGATGGAGGGAGGGCCTTTTGTACTACATTGTACTTATTGAAAATTGTTCAACAAATCCTAATATGTCGGTGCAATAAAGTGTTAAATAAATAATTTTCTGCGTAAGAAAAACTACGACGTAAATAATGTATATGCGAAATACGAAACTAAAAATCGTTGAAATAAAGATTGCTCAATGCTTACTTTTGCTATACAGAAATGTCTAAAAGAAAAACAGTAGTGTTAAATTAACCATGATGACGTATCGACCGACCGTGACGGACAAATATGACGTCGGGTACAAAGTCCAATTTATGAATACTTGCTTAGAAATTATAAATTGGTTTCACATATTTTCATGAAATATTTTGCCTGAATATTTTTATGTAATTAACAAAATATTGGATAATTACAAAATAGCAATTAAATACCATTACTATTACTTCATCGTTTTGGTCATAGCGATTATACATATGAATATAATTAATACTGAAAACTTACCATTTTTATTCAATATTTGAAGACATTACACAATAGAAGTATCCACAAGGAACGCCACGCCCTAATAAGTCCATGCAACATGGCGGATCATACTGCGTCGTACTTTATTTCAAGCACGTTTTTAATCACTACTTCTAATTTTTATAAATATAGTTCATGTAAATTGTTTTTACACAAATATAAGAGAAACCTTATAATAAATTCAGTCTTAAACACAATGTACTGTTATCTATTGTTATTGCATTTGTCAATTATTAGCGTTAGAACAATGTATTTCTAACATTACCAGACATATTGGACAATAAAGAATTATATTATGAATTAGGTACTGGGTTCAATATTTTGATAATTATTACACTTAAAAAAATCAATGAGTTGGCAGAATTCCAGGCCAAGGAGAAGTATTATAAGAAGTTCGATTCGACGTTCAGCGTTAACGCAGTGTGGCCGAAGAATAAAATGGCTTACATGAATGAATGAATGATAAAATAAATAAACTTAGAGTTGCCATTTTAAAAAATATTCGTTTTTAAAGAAATAGGAAGCTAATCAAATTTGTTTTGGATTTACTAAAGGTATAAATATAAAAGAATTTAAATTAAAATAATATAAAATACGTGAATACACTCTATATTTTAGAGCAATTTCTTTTAATTTCAAAATTATCATATATTTACGTTTGACTCATTTTTATAGTTATTGAATAATAGATTCAGTCCGAAACGAATATTTATTTTTGATTTTTATTTATAAGCATTTCGCATGACTGTCACGAACAATATTGCGTGGCCCACCTATATAATTTATTAGTGATTATAATTGTTTATTGGTTTTCTGTTATTGGACTTCCAGTCTGCAATTAACTTAGTGCCATTATGCTATCTACGTTTAAGGTCTAGAAAGGTCCGTTAATAATGTGACATATTTTTTTAATAAGGAGCTCCCTTATCTTTTAGAAGGTCTTGTATAAATCTTCCTTTACCCCTTCTTTGTGGATGTATCAGTGATTATAGATTGTAAATAGTTTATTAGATGTATGATGTATTTTAGATCATGGTTGTATTTTTGAAGTAAGAATTTTAATTAACAGAAGGGCTGTCATTCATATAGCATTCATCGTAAACTCAAGTAATAAATAATATTTATTCCAATGTTATGTGAACATTCTCATTCGTAGTTTTAGAAATTTATAATCCTTTGTGTGCTATTATTCAGTATATTTAGATTATTTGTATGTAAAGTTTAATAATAACGACTTTCCACATAACTAATACTAAAAAATACATTTCCATGAATTATAGGAAAATTTTTAGGTTGGTTACATTAATAGAATGAATAAATTTGATTTTGCAAATAAGAAAAAGGAAAAAAAATGAATGATAATTTTAGATTAAGTACATAATAAAAGATGTGTAAACATTATATCTATATTTACATGTTCTTAGGTTTCCAATGATTTGTGTGTTGATTCCTTATAACATAGATTAAGGATAGTTTACTTCTGGTTTTAGATTATAAGGATAGTGTCGCCATACCACTTTGTACGCGGCAGTATTATTACTTTAGATTATCTAAATAGGTATAGGTCGTAACTTAAAATATTATATTTATATTAATTTATAATATTTAACTATATATATTTAAATATTATCTAAAACATAAAACCAACAATATAAACATGTCCCAAAAATTATATACACAATAAATAATTTAGAAATCTTAATTTGTGAATTTAAAATAAATCTAAAAATAATATAATTTTCAACTAACAATCAGTCAAAACAATTTTCACGTTCCGTACGCGACTCAAAGGTCCCCATGACGCTTTTAGCGTTTCCATTTTGGATTGAGTGATATCCTTTGAGCCAGATATGAACTGAAACGGCGATAATGACCATGACCCCTATCTACAATGCGTTGACCCAACTCCTTTATAAAAGATTTCGCTTCCGCTTCCCCATACGCCTGTTTCCTCAAAAGCAACAGGAACAAAAAAATAAGTTGATTTGAGAATCTTATATTTCGAATATTTAAGTCTGGTAGCAACTTTTGCCGCCGAGTTTACTATGTGAATCGTATCCCGTAGATGAGACAAACGTGCTCACGAAGGTTGGATATCATAACAAACAGCGGCCTCTCTTCCGTGGGACAAAAATTAAACCATCAGGCCGTTTTACATCCGTCTGACTTAATCCTGGTAGCTCCAGTACACAAGGGATATCGCTACTACACATTATCCTACGAATGATGTTGTTAATAGCATGGTGCCTGAGAAACCTCCCGGTACAATTTAAACAGTTTAGTCCATGATGACCCCTGGAATTCACGAGTACCCTACAAATGCAACGATGCTTTTTGGCAATAACGCATCTAACACTGAGCCCTACTGCGATTGGCAAATAGTTGTTATCAAGTAAAGTCCCTAAATGAGGCGAAGGTAAGGCATGTGACCACATGCCAAATTCTGACACAGAAGCCACCATATTTCTCGCCAAATCTGCGCCAGAAGAATTCTGCAACAACACTGGTCTTATTCGCAAAGGGCAAAGTGATCTCATCACCATTACGAATACGAATGACGAGGTTTGCAATGCAATACGAAGATGCCAAGAAAACCGGAAAGCCAGTGTTCTATACGCGACGAATGCCAAGACCACCATATCTGATCGGTAGAGCCGCCTGCCGACACTGACCCTGATCTAATTTTACATTCAGAATATTCTTAAGAACGTTCCTAAGAACGTTGTATAAAGAAGAAACTTCATCCGGAAATAACCAAACTGGAGACGCTCACAAAAAGGAAATTAAACGAGGCATGGACAAACAACTACGACAGAGTCAACGTTACATGAGCTGTCAATGTGAATAAAATTGGCTCTAAGATTAAAATAACACTTTCTTTGGCTTTTAAAGATAAAGAAATTGCGTCAGGAAAAATTGGTGCACCAAGCAGAGAATAACTTATTTTATGCACAGTTTTTATATAGGTATAACCCTACATATACTGTAATTGAGTAGGTAAAGTTTATTCATTCTTACATGAGAACAACTCATACTTGTTGGTATTAATGACTAAGCCTATCTCCTTAAATTTATCAACGATTAATTGGATATCCCTCAGCACTTCATCTACTCTTCCACAAATTGTACCATCATCTAAGTACCACATATTCAGTGATAATTCAAGGGGTGAGGTACGTTTATGTATAGCTAGACTGAATAACAAAGAGCCCAAAGGATCACTCTGTTGCATACCGATCTGCGACGAGAACGACGTTGACTTGCAAAATTATTTATGGTGCCAAAAATTACACTGATGAAGAAAAGGATAACGACTAGGGATGCATTCTCTTTCATGTTATAATTATTTTTATTAAATAAAAAAAAAAAATCTGATAAAATAACATCTTTTTTCATGGTATTAAAGGCCTTATTAATATCTAGCTATAACATAATGTTATCCGAACCGGACAAATTTCGGGATTCAGCAAACTCTTTAAAAAAAATTATATAAATTGGTTAAAGATTTTGCTAATCTAATGCCATTATCTTCGACAAACAATGTTGTGAGTTCCTTCAAATGCTGTGGCCGAACCTATAACTTCCAAAATTTCTTTTACTGTAACCGCAAGGTCTGGGCTTGAGAGATCTGGTTCTGTAGGAAAGGACAAGTTGCGAGGCGACGCAGGATGTTTATATTTTAAAGCAGTAGCGTATCCAAATCTCAAAGAGCGAATCCGTCATCAAAAGTCAGAAACCTAACGACACCTCTCAAGTCTTCGTCCTTTCCCTCAATAACACTAACTAATGTTAGAGTTATTGAGGGCAAGGACAAAAGAGAAATAACAACTCAGAATCGGTTCTACTACTTGCTATGTGGTAAATGAGGGTAAATGATTATTTTGTCTGTGTGATATATCTCCGAAATCAAGTTTCTTCTTTATAGTGATGAGTATTAAAAATTACTATTTTTTACTAAATATACTTGATTAGCAGCGCTATTGACTATTAACAAAAAATCGATGTTATAGCGATCGTCTGTACTTAGTTACATTCGTACACACTCATATTGGTTATATACCTTTGACTCTTATACGAACAATTACTCTAAAAACAAGGAATAACAGAATCTTTGCAATTACTAATGAATTACTTAAAGGATTAGTAGAAGCGTACAGCAACTGAAATTACTAGTTGAATGATTTGAAAATCATTTAAATAATTTTAGTGAATTGCTTAGTTGAATAATTATATAATTGTTCGTGTATTAGTAAAATTGAATATAGCTGGTATAGGTCATGCTCTTTGTCTATTTAGTTTCTGATGAGTTTTAAAATAACAACAAATCAACTTTTTTTCTCTCCGTTCATATTACCTAAGAACAAGTATTTCACTCGATTTCACTAAAGTCTGCAACCACAGAGTAGATAGAAATGGAATAGAACAATTAAAATTCCAGACAAATTATCATATTGAAGACTAGGCATCATGGTTTCCGACCTTAGCCTGGTCCACAACGGAAAAAACGTACTGGAAAAAAAATGGAATAGAACAAATTCAAATTTATTGTGTATTCCAGACAAATTATCTTTTTGAAGACTAGGCAGCATGGTCTCCGACCTTAGCCTGTTCCAAACGGAACAAACGTACTAAAAAAAAAAAAAATCAAATTTATTGAACAAGTATACAGCAAGTAAAAAGACAATCTTCTAAGAATTCGAATTTGCAATAAGATATAATGTGGAGTGACTCTTTATTAATTGTATTTATATCAATCTGTACAGCGTTTTTGGGAGAAGGTAAAGTGTACATATCTAAAATATGTAAATTATCGAGTCCTTTTAATCGAAATAAATTATTAGAATGATTATATCTACAACATTACTTTTATCGCAACAATAATAGTTAACATTAACTTCTCGACATCCCATCAATTACAATCATGAGCACATTCTTACGTTTTTATCCACGTCTTCTGGGTAACTATTAATGAGGTAAATTAGATAAATTTTATTTGGTTAGGTTAGGTTAGTGTTGTGTGTAATACATAAGAATGGGTGACATATAAAGTCCTCAAGAGGTAACATACTCACTTTCACTTTTTTAATATTTGTGAGGATAATATTAGGGATGCTAATATCATTATCAAACCTGCAATAGGCATTGTTCTTTATTTTAAATAAAATAATTGTGTAAGTAAAATAAAATATGTGAGTTGGGGGTCAAATGTCAAGTCTATTGCTATCATAATCACAATGTTCAGGGGGGGAAGGTATTGTTAGTAATGTGGTTGTCCTCCACATAGTTCCCCCTGGAAACCCTTGTGCTGAATTCCATAATGTATTCATCACGATAGGCTAACTGACCTGCATTTTCATTCTCACCTATCATCCCTCACTGGAGCCCCATCAGCTTATACCAATAGTGCAGATGGGGTTACCATTCCATTATCATACATTAAAAAAAACAATGTTCAACAAAATTATTGACTACTAAAGGGATATGGTTAATATTTGTGAACATGTAATGTCAATGTGTTTATTAACTAAGTATTTATCATTACAGGTTTGACTTGGATATTGGTCTATAGAACAGAAAAATATCAGAAACTGAAAGTGGAAGTAGAGAGACAGAGTAAAAAATGTATGAGTCATAATTATATTTCTTCTAGTGATGATAACCAAGAATTAAATCAGATCAGTTGATCTAGTGTGAAGAATTTATTGGGGATTAACCATAATGATTTTCAATCTCTTGTGGTTGACTTAAATAGACTTTTTATAAAATTATGAAAATGGAATGGTAATCCCATCTGCACTATTGGTATTTGCTGGTGGTATCAGTGAGATAAATGAAGACATTGGTTTACCATATATTAACCTGACATGTTGCCATCAAAACTTCATTATTAATAATCCTTTTGCCTCCAATTTGAGGGTATATTGCTATTATAGGGCCATTAGCACCACCATCTGTGTTATTACTCTTTATAGGGAAGGGAAGGATTATGAGGTAATTTAATTTAAAGGCAGCATTTAGACTATCTGGTATTTGAATTTGTGGTCATGGATTGTTTTGTAGTGATTGCAATTTTAAGTCTAACTTTCTTCAAACAACCCCAGAGGCAGCTTTTAATAATATTAAAATACATCCTAGCCTTTAATTTAACAATTATTTACAGTGGAAAAACGCAAAGAAGCTCATGGTGATTCTTTAGATAAACAGCATAAAAAGAAAATTGAAAGAGAGGAGGAAAGATTAAAGAATAATAATAGAGATCTATCTTTGGTAAAAATGAAGTCAATGTTTGCTATTGGCTTTGCCTTCACAGCTTTACTTAGCATGTTTAATAGTATGTAAGTGAGCCATTTTTCTCAAAACCTATATATAAACTTTATTAATTACATACATCTTGAATAAGTTTTAAGAGTTTGCATAAAATGTATGCAAAAATATTGTAACAAAATGTACTTGTTACAAAATTAACATAGTACTAAAAATGTATACCTCCCTGCATGATAATTTTTTCACAACTTATTAAAATAAGTCACTAAACTGATAAAAATACAAATAAGTAAAATAACTTATTGTATCAAGGTTGAAATAGATTTCTGAGAGAAAAGTTATGAACAAGAAGTAAAGAACAACTCCAACAGATCCTATTTTATTTGCTTTGATGAATCCTAAATTAGTATTATATGAATAAGTAAAAAAAAAAAAAAAACAATAATTATAATATATAAAAGTTTGTAATAATATTAATGCCATACTTTTTATATCTTCCTAAATAAAAAATGTTTTTTCAGTACAAAGTAAGATGGATTGTTTCAGTTAGACTAAGCTCTGTGTATTAAAACTGCTTTTGTATAAAAAAAAAAAAAACCAGTGATAAAATGCACATCATAATAATATAATAAAATGTGTATAATTGTTTTGCAGATTTGATGGTCGAGTTGTGGCAAAGCTTCCATTTTACCCAATTTCCTGGATACAGGGCTTAAGCCATAGAAACTTATCAGGCGATGATTATACCGATTGTTCATTTATATTCCTATATATTTTGTGCACAATGAGTATAAGGTAAAATAATAATCTATTAAGGTCTATGCAGATAAGAGACAAATTTTAGCATACTCTTTTTCTGTTAAAGTATTGTAGAATGCATTAAATTGCATGAATCTGTGCAAGTCCACAGTTATTTTATACTAGTTTTGTCCTAAAAGAAGTCCTCCTGCATGGACCTTTACTGTTACAATAAGAAAGTAGTGACAAAATGTAGTAAATACAATTATCATCATCATCATCATATCAGCTTTTCACTGTCCACTGCTGAACATAAGCCTACCCCTTTGTTGCCAATAATTGCCACGCTTGGCAGGTGGATTTGTAAATATCAATTTAATATAATTGTAATAGTAACAACGGGGATAGCCCACTTACGTGAACCTCTTTCCGCTTGACACATAAGCTTATGGGTTCATCTTTTTTTCAAAGGGCACACTGAAATACCTATATCGCACCGACACCTCATAGGGCCCGGTGTAAAATGTAGATAAAATAAAAAAAACATACCTATAGCCTAAACGGTCGCGTGCAACGCGTTTCAGAGATATTTTCTTCCATGAACACTCATTTTATAGAATGAGATCCCTGACTAAAGTATGAGGTTTTTCAAAAAAGGGGTAAAGAGGTTTCTTTAGGGTCGACAACGCTCGTAATACCCCAGGTTTTGCGGGCGTTCATAGGCTACGGTAACCGCTTACCATCAGGTGGGCCGTATGCTTTGCTACCTCAATAATATAAAAAAGAACATTCTATTTTGTGATCATCATACTAATAAATTTCTACTTTTTACAGACAAAACATTCAGAAACTTTTAGGTTTTGCTCCATCTCGTGCAGCATCTAAGCAAGGAGGTGCACTGTTTGCACCCCCACCAGCGCAATTTAAGTAATAGAAATTAAATTGTTCAATAATTTATTTAAAATTATCATTAAATGTGTCTAATTCAATAATTGTATTATTTACATTATCCAATTTTGAGTTCACATATGACTGTAAATTACTATGACTAATAGATATTGAACTCTACTAATGGCTCATTAATTAGTAGTCTATCAAATCCCAGTCTCGTTAAGTCTATTGTCGAATAATGACTATCAATTATTAATTCTGCAATAGCTCGCCCTATACCTGGAGCATGTTGACAACCTAAAAGAAACATATAGTAATTACAATATTGCATTGAAAGTACTTATATATATATATATATATATATATATATATATATATATATATATACACAGAAGTGATTCTCAACCACTGTGCCGCGGCACTTTTATGTGCCGCCAAATTTTGCAAATATTAAAAATTTTTGTCATAAACTATTTATGCAGTGTGTTGTAGTAAGTAAATATTTTTTATCTTTTTCTTTGTGTACCGCCAAATTTTGAAATCGTTAAATATGTGGCGCAACAAAAAAAAAGGTTGAGAATCACTGATATACAGGGTGTCGGGTTTCATGTGGTCCAAACGAAAACTATCGATAGAGGGGGTCCAAGGGCTTCTCTAAACACCCCCAGATGTTCAGAAGATCATGATGATCAGAAGTGGAATGATCCAGATTTTATCAACTCTATTTTGTGAACTGACGAATCGAAATTTACTAGGAGTGGAGTTTTTAATATGCATTACACTCACGCATGGTCGAGGACAAATCCAAGAGTACTTCTAATGACGTCATTTTAGCTAAGTGCGAGTGAGACAGCGTCCTCACGTCCCTTTTACTCAGCTACCTAAGGGGCGCTTTTATGATTACGGTTGCACTTGTAGTTACTATCTGAGAGTAAACTTTTTAATGCCATATGAAATAATTTTATTTCGTTTTTGACGAAATAAAACTATTTCCATACTATATATTTATTTAAATTTTTTTTTTTATTTAGGTGTCTGTTTGTACAGGCTAATCTCTGAAACTGTTGGACCGATTAACATGAATTTTGCATGGTGGTACTTTACATTCCTGGTCAACTTTTTAGATACTTTTATTCACGAAAAATTAGAGTTCCTGTGCGATAGTTAAACTATAGTAACTTATACAGCTTTGTACACAATCTACTTAAGTCATTTTGACTTAAGGCAAAGAGTGAGATCGACACGTTATTTGTTAATTTTAGTTCAGTATTCCCAGACATAATAAATAGGTAGGTACATACATCGATACATACTAAACAGGAATAATAAATACCACGCAGACAAAGTCACGGGCATCAGTACTAAATACACCAATGCTCATAATTAGTTGTTTAAGTTTTGAATCACTAAATTCGTTAAGTACATATAGAAAAACAGATTATAAAGATAACATTCAGTGTTGAAAAATAATCTGCGTTGCTTACCATATTTACCGAATCCCGCCGCTATATATAAATTGTTATGATATGGATGTGGGCCCAAAATACCAGTATCATCGTATGTATTGCAATCTTGTAATTCGCTAGAAAATGTTCGTACCTGTAATACATATTTTAAAAAATTGAGTTGTATTTAGATTTCAAAGTAAATATATATAAAAATAAATGTGTAGTGTCATTTAGCTAATATAATAAAATTGTAAATTGAAGTTTACATAGCAGATATTTTAGAAAAAAATATATGAACCTTAAGAGCAATAGAAACCAAATCAGTAATTTTTGAACTTTTGTATCTGTTTGTTTGTATTAAACATACATTCAGGCATCACGCGAAAATTACTAAATTAAATTTGATGCGTTTTAACAGAGCTGTGTTTTTAAAGATGTAACTTAAAATCTGGTGCATGGTGCTGTTTATAGTGATAGGTATGCCATCTAGAAGTAAATATCAAATTCCGCACATACGAAGTTGCGGGAAAACTTAATGTATTGTACAAAATACAGAAAAATTGCGCAAGTGCGGTTGCGAGAAATAATCATTTTGATGTCACTCGGTGGCGCCGCACCTATATAGCCAGTGACCTTAAAGATTTTATTTTATTCCTATAATATAGGTACCTGAGTTCCAATTGTATTTGGAAATCTGTTGTTTAATGATGGCTCTATTATATTTTTATAATAGTCTTCTTTGGATAATGTTTTGCTGTCTTCTGCCATTAACGGGACTAGCCCACAAAACAAGTCATCATCTAAACCATTTCTTCTTAACCATAAACCACTGGTATCCATAATAACTGGAGTATTAAGACCAGTTTTTTTAGCTTCGTTTTCGATAGAATACACTTCATATTCTCTTTGAAAAAAGAAAATAAAAATAAATTATATTTGAGTAAATACAATCTACCTATTAACAAAGATAGAGAAAATGCATACCATATGTTTTAGTATATGTACTACTGAAGCAAGTACAATCATATGATGCGTCTCACGAAATGATTTGGAAATACAATTTATTATTTTAAAAAAACAGGAAAACTTGCAGCTAGCTTGATAAATATATTCAGAAAGGTAATGTAAAGCCCATTAAGTTTAACACAAATTAAGTGAGGTATTTTTTAGAAAATAATATGTTATACATCTCCAAATAATTTTGTATTATCAAATTTTTTAAGACCGAATCTTTAGTATAAAACAGATTTATTAAATATAAATCTGTTCATTCACAATCACGAGAAGAGAGTGTTCATAACAAAGTTCACAACAAGACTATTTTTAAAGTCGTTCAGAAATATTGGAAAGTTGTTTTTTTAAATTGACTGATAAGGCAGACTTGGCCAGTCTTCAGCATCAACACTCTTAAGTTTTTAATATAAAATATATAAGAATTAAATATTAAATAAGTACCTAGATTCTATAGGTAAAGGTATTGATAGTAATCCGTCACTTTGCCCCACTTTGGCTAATTTTGCAATCTCTCCTGACTTATGCCCTGCTGCCAATATACACGCAGCAAATTTGATAGTATGTTCTTCGTTATCAGGTGTTCTATATATAACTCTACTAATTTTTTCAAATGTTCCAGGAGCTACACCTTCCATTAGAACATCACGTTGTTTTTCCATTTCAAATCCAACTACTTCACCATTTATGTAAATAGTTCCAAGTTGCTGTGATTTTTGTATAAATCCTTTTAATAATGCCCAAGGATTAATAACTCCTTCTGATTCCAAACCAATACAACCTTAAACAAGTCAGTTTATTCCGTCAATTTTGGATTCACTTGAATCAGCTTTAATAATTATTTAGTAAGAACTAGGAATATTATTTTTTTACAATTCGTGTTTAAAACAAATATGAATTATTTAAAAATACATAATGAATAAAAGAAAGCATTAGCAGTACCCGTATTCACATTATAAAATATTTCCAATATTCAGAGGTATATTCAATAAGCAATATATATATATTGTTTATTAATAGTAAAGTATCGAGTCCTTGGATTCATTCATCTTGAGTAAATGCACATACTATCATACATTCACATTTGCTTATTATCTTGATGATTTATATTATGAAGCATCACCATACATATGATTTGTTTTTTTTTTTTTTTTTTGTGAAAGGAAAAGCCAGTATAACACAGATATAAGGCATTAATGGGGTCATCTCATGTGATGGGCTCAAAAAATAGTTTTTTTTTTTCATAAACTGCTTTCTTAACATGTCTAGAATACGGTAGTAAAGTGATTTAAAAAAAATTCGAAGTCGTTTTAAAGATGCAGCAGTTAGAACAAAGAGCTGTTCGGAGCGCTGACTTGGCAGTCGGAGTCCGGGCCTACTGTGTACAGTCGGCTCGATACCGGGCACTCTTTTATACATATATACGCTCATACAAGTTTCTACAGGCTTAAAAAGGAATTTCTATAGTTATTAAATATTTTACCGAAGTAATATTTAAACTTGGTTTAACTTCGAAGAAACAAATTATTTATTTTCATAATGAGTGGACGGAAAGGAAGTACAAGTGGAAATGTTTATTCTGGTCGTAGTTAAAGAAGAAAGTTTAGTGGACCAGGCATCGCTGATTGAGGGTAAGTTAAGATTTAAGTGGAATTGAAACTTTAAACACGTTTTTCTCAAAACTGGGTGTTTCAAACTTTTCTCCATCATATCTTAAAACGGCTTAACCGAATGACTTGAAATTTGTAGAGTACACTCAGCATATACAAACAAATGAACCAGTCAAAAATTCCCAAAATTTAGATTTTTTATAGCAAAAAAAACATAAAATAGTTCATAAAATTCACAACTTTTTTCAAATGTCTACCAAAAGTCAAATTTTTGGTATATTCATTTGTTAAAAGTTTATTCAGTGCACTCAGGCTTACAGATTAAAACGCCGCTATTTTTTTGTTTCAGATAAGCCAATTAGTTGGAATCGTGGAGGAAGTGCGAGCCCATTTTGCGAGGCCCATTCGTGTGAGGCGGAGGTGTTCAGGACATTGTAACTCATGTTCTACACAATATTTTTAGCTTAAAATTTATATTTATACTGTCGATATATATGTTAATAAATGATAATGAACTTAAAGCTTTGTCTATTTATTTGTCGTAGAAAAAAAATCCTAAAAAACAGACCATCACATGGGATGACCCCTTTAAACCTCGACACGACAGCGGCTTGCGCTTGTTAACAAATATATATATTTTTAGATTTAAATTTATACATAATAAGTGTTTACAGTCTGCTGTCATTTTAAGTCCATTAATATAAGTGTGTACAAGTGCTATTTAAAAAAGTTATAATAATCCAGCTTACCTAATTGTACGTCTTTAGTATTTATCCATGGATATCTTATTTTAATTTCATCAGAAGTCAGTAATTCATTTTTGAAACCATATTCTTTTTGTATAGTAACAGTTTCTTCTAATTTATCTGCATATTTTTCACCAGCTAATACTAAGTAGCCATTTGGATTATATTGAACATCCACATCATTACCTAAATTTTCTTTAGCTGTCCTTATGAATTCAGTACCATATTGGGACAAATAAAAATTTTCAGGCAAAGAAAAATGTCGAGTAAGTGTTCCAAGTGATATATTGTTTTGTATATTTGTATACTGAAATAAAAAATTCTTTATAGACTCTAATGTATACAATATTTTACCTGTCTTTTCCCTATAAGACAAAAATTGTGAGATAATAGTAATATGTAAAAGTATATACATAAGTGATAAATTTTATTAGCTAGGGTGTTAAATTTAAAATTGCAATTAGTATAGTGATTTTTATCAAACATTAATTTGGTACACTTATATACAATTGTAATTTGATGAATAAACATTTATCTGGGCATTAGAAAGAATAATAATGTAAAATGTATATTATTATACAATAAACATTCTAAATTGATTATTAAAATAATTATATGATCATAAGTATAGGTGCACTTGTTCGCACACATGCACACACATACACACAAAGTATAATAAATAACATGTACGTTCAAAAAATATTATTATGCATTTTAACATATTAATGTACATTATGTTATTCCTTATGATGATTGAAGTTAGTGATATATTAATTATGTTTATTTCATTTTATTTCTGAGGAGGGGGGCCTGGTGATCTAAGATACAGGCAGCTTACTGTCCAATTTAGACCCCAGTCTCACACAACTATGTTTTATTTCATGTTATTTTTGCCAATTGAATTGTAATATGGTTGTGGTGGAAAAATAAAAAATATATCTCTGATGGCAAATGGTTACTGAAGTTTATAAACGCCAGTAACACTAGAGGTGTCACAAGTGCATTGTCGACCCTGAAGAAATCTTAATACATTGTTTTTGAAAAAATCTACTTCTACCATCTACGATGGTGAGTGGTGTGATGATAAAAAGTGGTTGTGGGCATCACTTCAAACAATTCTTCAGAACAAAATCCATTAATTCCAGTTCTTATTGACATGCAGGAAATAGCTAGAATGCATAAATGCATGATGTAGGATTGTAAACTTTAACAGTTAATAATTGTGTAGTTAATTATACCATAATAGGTACTTGTTATTAAGTATCATGTATACTCACAGTGATATCCTTTTCTAATACTACTATAGACAAACCATCAGCAGCTCTTTTTTTCAACCAGTACGCTGTTGCTGAACCAATGAAACCACCTCCAATAATAACAATGTCTACATGTTCAGGATAAATAGTCGACCTCTTATTAATACCTAGAAATTCTGGAACATCTTTTGCAACTACTTTCCAAGTTTTAACAAAAGGATTATCTTTTCTATAATGTCGTATGCATAAATTTAGGATATTATTACTGTAAGGTCTTAGTATATTTTTATTTGCGTGTACGATATGATTGAAAAATTTAACGGAGAGCATTATAAATGTTTATTTTATTTAATTCAGTGACTTTTCTACTTTATTTGGTTTATAAAAAAGTTTATAATAAAATTTTTATCCATTATTTGACATTGATAGTGTCAGTTTGACCTGAGAGTGTCAGTCTGATATTAGGAATTACTTTCTTATTTGGCTTTGGCAAGCACTGGTAAAAATTAAGTTTATTATTTTAATATATCAACAAATTAAAATTAAATCAAATTAACAATTTATTTTTTTATTGTAAACTTCAGGAATTATTAAAAAAAAAAAATAACAGTGAACATATAAAAATGTGCTGCGATGTAGTCCCGATATAGAATGAGCCGCAATTTCTTTTCGCGTTTTATTGTAAGGGGCTATTAATAGAACTTATTAATGGAGTGATGAATAGAATAGCATTACTTAATTACAAAAGCTTAATTGCGATTGCCAACCCGCCTGTCAATCGTGGCTAAACTTTTCCAATAGAGCAAAGTTTATATTCAGCAGAGGACAGTTAATAATAATAAAACGAATATATAAAATACGCAACATTTATATGATATACATGTTTGTAGTACTTCTGATAGTGCAGGTATTCATAGGAGGCGTTTACCAACAGGAGGGCCGTGTGTTTCTTTGCCACCATTTTTTATGTTACTTACAGCTCACCTGATGGAAAGTGGTAATCGTCGTCTACAGACATGAGCAGTACATCATAACAGAGTATATTGCTTCGCCCATGATATCCTTGATATATGAATGCTCAAGCAAAAGACTTTTGTACAAAGTCTCCCTCTTTTTGTAGTGGTTTAATGGACAACACTAGTCTCTTGGGGGGAAAGGGATTGTTAGTAATGGGGTAAAATAGCCCCATTACTAGCAATGTATCCTGTCAGATCGACCTCCACGTGGTTCCCCCTGGAAACCATCGTGAACAATTCTTGTTGAATTCATCACGATGGACTAACTGACCTACTTCATCCTCACCTATCATCCTTCACCGGTGCACTGCCGGTATATATCCATATATATATATCGATAGCGCGGGTGGGATTACCATTCCATTATCACCCATTAAAAAAAAAAAAACACTAGTCTCTTGCCAATATTGAAAAAGAAAAAAAAAAATAGAAAATGCTTATGCTATTCGTCTGTAATGTCAATGTCAAATGGCTAAAGAAGAGACGTAGGTTGTGTGAATTTTGTTTTAAATTTGAAATTGACCATTTCTTTGACATTTTAAATTCCAGTGAAGATATTTATTCAGAGTGAATATGTGATAATAAAAAGTGTTTTCGCAGCGCTTATAGTTTGATAACTCGCTGGCTGTCAAAAGAATAAGGTATAATACACGGGCGAGCCGAGGGAGCAAGCATGTTATTATTACACTTTTGTGAATAATTGTTCAATAGTATTTTAATAGATTTGCCATGGATTCTAAATATGCGGCAATTGGAGGTGTTAATGAGCTCAGAAAGAAAGCAGCAAATGTTGATAATATAAAAGTAAAGAAATTAAAACTGTGTAAAGAAAATGCACAAGCAAATATACACGTGCTTCAAAATGGTAAAGAAAAACAAACTAAAGTTTTGCCTAAAATTGTATCCAGTGAAGATATTCAAGAGGCAAGGAGAAAATTACCCGTGTATTCTGTTCGTGGCAGGTATTAATCTTTATTAATATTATAAGGGCATTTCTCTTTATACTGGATGTTTATATATAATTATATTTTATTTAGGAAATGTATATATCCACATATTTAATAATATATAGGAGATGAAACAAAAATATTTCACTTTCGAAAATAATATGCATTTTCTGAAAAATCTGTATAGAGAACTGTGACCTATGTCAGGTGAAATTGTGTACATAAGTGAAAAATACTATTTAATCCTCAAAATTTAATCTTTTTTATTTCATAAAATTATGGAGCTTAGTTCTAAGTAATTGAACAATAAAGAAATGAACAAAAAAAATTAGTCTTTTTATAATATTCCATTCATACTGAAACTGTAATTTTGAAATCTTAAATGTAATTAGTATCAATAAAAATGACATTCAATAAAAGAAAGTTTAAGTGGTTGAGTTTTACACTTTAAAATCGGACTCATTATAATTTAATTAGTGATTATTGAAATGTGATACAAATAGATAAATAAAATAGTATCAAGAATTTGGTCTTGATGTTTTTCAAAAGCATTTGCGAATCATATTTGTGCAATATTCTATTCCCTTCTAATTATATTTGGATTAGCCAGTTAATATTACTTGGTCCATTGTCAACTTTTTAGTTACAGAACATTCGGACTTTGATACAGATTTTGCCATCTTATTCATCAATCATCTCAATAACACTCAATTATGTTTTCCTTTTTCATTTTAAAATTTTTGAGAGTTCTTTTTTCATTGGTGCCATACTTAAAACACATCTCTACATATGACAATGGCAAACAATATACAGACAGTCCTCTAGTAGTAGAAACAATACCTTGTTAAGAGGCAGGAGACATTTGTTAAGTTAATGATTAAAAAAATTTTCATAATTTTATAATTCAATTAATTTTTAAAAGATTAGTTTGATTTCATTGAGTGTTAACATAAAATGTATTTGAGTTATTTTGCAGTACACAGGGATAATTTATCTATTATGAGGATATAAGCTTTCTAAGGTATCAACATAGTACATAAAAAGAAACAAAAATAATCCTTACTATTGGACTATCAGCTGTTAGGTATTAACATGAGTTTTACAATGGAATGCTTATGTAGCATTAAAGAAAGCAGCATCCAGACACCAATGGAGGCAAAAGTGCAAATTTTCAGATTATAATTTGATACTTTTACTCATGAAGCTCTTTTCAGTCAAATAAACAAAATTGTATAATGCCCCACAGCCTAAGAATGAGCAGTCTATTGCAGTTCTTAAGATTAATGATATTTTATATTTCAGATTAATAGAGGAGATAAAGAAACATCAAACTATGATATTAATTGGAGAAACAGGTAGTGGTAAAACTACCCAGATTCCCCAATTGATACATGAATACAGACTTGAGGGTAATGGAGCTATAGCCATAACTCAACCACGAAGGGTAGCAGCTATCACAATAGCGTTTCGTGTTGCAGCTGAAATGAACACTGAAATTGGTGCCATAGTTGGGTGGGTTTTGATGCTGTAATATATCTCTGAATTATTTTTATATGCCATATTTTATGACATATACTTGTAATGAAATCCAGAAAACAAAAAGTTCATAACAATTTTTCTTTTAGAGAATTGAGTGAAATATAAAACTAGTTTACTTTTTTGTATTTTTTTCATGTTAACATATTTTACATAATTAATTCAAATAAATAAAATTTTCAGATATTGTGTGAGGTTTGAAGATGTTACCAGCATAAAAACTAAGGTTAAATATATGACTGATGGTATGTTACTCCGAGAAGCCATACTTGATCCATTGTTAAAAAGATATTCTATAGTGATATTAGATGAAGCTCATGAGCGCACTGTTAGCACTGATGTTCTATTTGGTATAGTTAAATTAGCACAAAAGGAAAGGAATGAAAAAAAATTAAATCCCTTAAAGGTATGTTTTAGTTATGTACTTATAAAGATTGTCTATGATAACATAGTTTGCCTCTTTAAAATCTAAAGAAATAAAAATGTGTGAGTCAAAATATTTACGAGGTTTCGGTCATCAAACGCACAAATGTATACACTCAAATTAGACATCAAACTTAAACAAATACAATGATTTGTCTTTTGACATGTTGTATTCCTAATTAATAGTATGGTGCTGCTTGTTTTCTATGAATGATGACTTTTTCAATTACGATTAATTGGCTAATAAATCTTAAATTAAATATTTGATAAGTAGGGACAATAAATAAAGTTTTCATGAGATTATTAATGTAAAATGAAAAAATATAAAGAAAAAAAAATTGGAGGTATTTTCCTCATAAACATAAACAGAACACCTTGTCAGTGTATGGCCCACTCATTAAAGTAAAACATTGGAGGGGTGTGCCATATTAACCTGATACTCTATATAAATTTGTAAATAATCAAAATAGCAGCTGACATTTAAAGTATCTTTGTATTAGGAAGTTATACTAGATAATAAATTACAAACAAAAGTACAATTATATTTTATAAATTTTGCTACAAAAAGTTGGAAGGAGGCATTAAAATCAGTTTTCAGAAATGTCAACACATTATGGACACCATGGACGTCACAGTGTATTTTATGATATATATGGTCCTGTTTATTAGTTTTAGTTATGTTCATTAGTGATAGTTACCACTTTCTAACAGATGGACTGTCAACTTGTTTGTCATTCAAAATTATAATATTATGTTTATTATATCAGCCGTCAACTGTCCATTGCTGAACATAGGCCTTCCCCGTAAGGGACAGTTTTGCCATGCTTGGCAGGCAGTTTGGCAACCACAGTCAGGCTTTTGGAAATGTTTTAAGAGCACACTGCTGGCTTTCCCTTGACCATAAGTTTCTTTAGTCGCTTCTTACGAAACTTACGGGAAAGGAACCGGTTGTCCATTCTATGCCGCGACCTACACAGCAGAATATTATGTTTGCAGTGATTTAATTCCTAAGAGTCACACTCTTGTAACTACTATTTTTTAGGTGATAATAATGTCTGCCACCATGGATGTAGATACCTTCAGACAATACTATGATAATTGTCCTGTTATTTATTTAGAAGGTAGAACCTATCCTGTGACTATTTATCATTCAAAAATGAAACAAGAAGATTATCAGTATGCTGCCGTTTGTACAATATTTCAACTCCATGCAACCACTCCATCCAGGTAGGTTATAATTAAAATAAATATTCATAATTCTGTTCATGGTATTTATGAAACTGAACAACGTTATTTAATCACTGTAACAATATGTTTGAATTGTTCACAATTAGTATTAATATTTCAATTATTCTCCGGAGTTATTTTGTTTATTACTTTGACTTTATTCAGAATTATAATTCTGAATAAAGTTTTCTTAAACTAAAACTTTAGATTGAATATGGTGCTTATATCACAGATATATAGATACGAAGCTTAAATATACACATTTTATAAAGAAATATAAGAATATGACATTGCTAAAATTATTATTCTATTAATGTTTCAGTCATGACTTCCTTGTATTTTTAACGGGTCAAGAAGAAATAGAGACAGTCATGTATAATATAAAACAAATTGCTAAAGTAAGTTTAGAACTCTAAATATACATTTGAAATTACTTAATAAATAAACATTATTTTTGTCTTTGCTCAAGTGGCTGATTTTTTATTGCAGGAAGCACCAGGACCTCCAATTAGAGTGTGCCCATTATATGCTGGTCTCCCAGCACAGAAACAGTTGCAAGTTTGGAAAGATACTCCACCGGGCATGCGAAAAATAATCCTAGCGACTAACATAGCTGAGGCATCGGTCACTATTCCAACTATAAAGTGTGTTATCGATACGGGTGTCGTTAAAGAAAGGTAATATTGATTACGTGCGTATGTACAGTGTTCTGTTTTATTATTACAGATTATCGATTTCTTATAAATATCTATGTTAAAACTGTTTAAAAAATAAATTTAAAGCCAGTCACTGATTCGCGAAATTCAGGTTAATTTTCCAACAAATATTTAGGTTCTGTTGAACTCACTTAAGAATTTAGTTTGATTAGATAGCGCATCATGACAAATTTCCACGACGGTTTCTAATAACGATCGCGTGGAGATCTAACTGACAGAATGTATTGCTAGCAACAGGGACTAACCCGACGGTGACATGGTAGTATATGAGTGGATGCGTGGCAGGACGTGGTGCGGCGCGTCGGGCGCGGAGCGGCTGCGCGTGAGCACGTGCTCGCAGGCGGCGGGGTGGCAGCGCGCCGGCCGCGCCGGCCGCACCGCCGCCGGCGCCGCCTACCGCCTCTACACCGCCGCCGACTTCGCCGCGCGCCCGCTGCACGCCACGCCGGAGATCGCCAGGTGCCACTAATAAATAGCTTTGTTTGGACTGGATATATTACATAGCGCTATCTTGTCGTAAATTGATCTTGTACTGTGGGTACTAAATGATTTACACATAGACAACACCTACACAATACAAACAGACATAGTTACCTATTTATGAATGCAATACAAATGCATGTTTAGAACAGGACAGATTAGAAAGTGAATCAAACGATTCATTTTGTAATTTTAGATAACTACATAGTCCCCCTTTTGTGGTATAGATTCGATTTTTATTTTAATATTCAATTACAGATGTCCGTTAGCACCGACCATACTGCTGTTAATAGCGGCAGGTATAGAGCCAAACACGTTCCCACTCATCGAGACACCACCGCTGGATTCTGTCAAATCTTCTTTATTGTTATTAAAAGAATTAGGTAAGTTTCTGTTATCAATTTAGCTCAAAATACTAACATAATGTATACGATCATATCTCTTATTAAATCATATGTTCAGGAGAAATTATATATTATATAATATCACCTTATGTACCTTATTGGCAAGTTAATTATTAACAAGTAATAACAGTTTTTATCTATATAAACATAAGGCTCAGATTGTAATTGTACATTGTGTTGATGCAGATAATTTAAAAATCAAGTAAAATTTCAGGTGCTATTGATAATGATGTAAATCCTAAATTGACCACTCTCGGTAAGAAGATGTCTATGTTTCCTATTGATCCTAAATATGCCAAGGTTTTGTTAAGCGCACCAGAGTATAATTGTTTAGAGGAGGTAAGAATTTATTAACTTTGTTTTTGTTTTGACCGTTATTGCAGAATATTAATCAGTTAGGTTTTTGCAGTACTACATATATCTTATTGATATCTTAATTATTGTTTGTTCATGCGCTTATTTTTAATTTGGCGCTACTTACTAGTATTTTCAAATAATATTTTTATTAATATTTACTAATATGAAAGTAACTGTTGTGAAAATGACTTTCTTTGTTGTAGTTTGTAAGATATTCACTATTTTTTATTATAATATCGTTAGCTAAACTTATAAAAATAATAAATTGTAATATCTATAAACTTAATAAAAATTATGTACTTTTGTTTATAGGCCTTAAGTTTGGTAGCAGTATTATCAAGTGAAAATATCTTTTATTCGCCAATGCACAAAAGAGAAGAAGCATTTAAGGTTAAACAAAAATTCATATCACCTCTAGGAGATCATCTCACTCTGCTGAATGTATACAAAGCTTTCTGCAAAGCAACACTGAAAAAGGTTTTTATGCTAATATATTATATTATTGTTTACTTTTTTTAAGAAAATATAAATTACAACTATATAGTAAAACAAGGCTATATCGTATCACTATTGACTAAATTAATTGATAAAGGAAATTGTCGTGTACTGTAGAAAATTATATGTAATTTATTTTATTTTTATTTTAGCAATGGTGCAAAGAGAATTTTCTCAATCATAAAAATCTTTCGTATGCGTGTGAGGTGCGACAACAGTTACTTACCGTCTGTCAAAGGTTAAATTTATCTGTATCCAGCTGTGGGCCCGCTACTGACCAGGTACAATGACGTTTTAAATATTTTTAATACTTAATAATATAATAAAAATTAGAATACAACGACGATATTGATGTATAAAAAATTACTACGATCACGATGTTGATAGACTTATAAGCAAGTTCGTTATTTATGGTAATTAACCAACTGCAGTCCAGTACTGGATACTGGATAGACCTTTCCAAAGGCACGCCACTAAACACGATTTTGGCCCTTGCTTACCAATTAATTATTGCAACTACTAAATTACTTGGTCTGTTTAAAAGTATACAGGGCAGGGATAAAGTGCGTAGTGATATCCTCGAAGTCCTTATTCGATTTTAAAAAAGATTGCAATTGTATATATTATTAGATATCTTGGGTGAAACAGTATACTCTGTTATGTCCATAGTACTGCTCATGTCTATAGGCGACGGTTACCACTTTCCATCAGGTAGGCGGTCAGTTTGTTTGCCATTCTAAGCTGCATAAAAAAAATTATTTGTATTTGTTTTTCATGATGTATGTGTACCCAGATTAGTGATTAGTAAATTCATTATTTCAGTTACTAAAGTGCTTACTGAGTGGGCTGTTTACAAACTGCGCGTGGTTGCGCGGCGGGCCAGGTATGGCGGCGGGGGCGCGGTACGTGACAGGCGCGGGGGCTGCGGCAAGCGTGCACCCCGCCAGCGTGCTTCACGCGGTCCGGCCCTCGCCCCCTGCCCTGCTGTACTCCGAGATGCTGCACACCCGCCGCACCTACCTCCTCACGGTTTCCGTGATACAGCCCCAGTGGTTGCACCAGGTCGCCCCCGAGTATGCTCGTCGGTGTCGCGCCAGTCGGTGACGGTGACCGAGTCGAACCGCTTTTGCCTCATTCTCACGGAAATTTCAGAAAACAATATGCAGCTAAACAATGTATCAACGGTTATATAAACAGATACTCGGTTTACTACCACTTGCTTATTCGGTGAGTTTTGTCTTAAAAAAAAAGTGTATATGTTGCAGTGTGAACAGGGTCTCTGTACACTCAATCGATTTGATATGTAGCTTACTGTAAATCTTACTTACTGTAAATGCCTATTGTCTTGAGGTTAACCCAACAATATTTTAGGTTAACTAAAATATCAAGTTGGTTGAGTGCGCGTACTATACATCTACCTCTTTATGGTTTGGGACCGAATTTTCATTGTTACGTATGTCATAGACGAAGAGGATCCGCCTAATAAAATTATATAATTTGTAATTAAGATATTGTTGTAGATCTAAATAAATTACTATCTGTGTAGATGTTATTGATTATTGTTTAATATATAATAAGCGTTAACATAATAAATATATAAATAATGGCATAGAAAATTTGGAATGTAAAATGTGGAATGTCTATTAGCAATAGATTTGATAACGGCTAATAATCCATTTTAATCATGTATTTTTAAATGTAATTTTTAGCAATGTTTTTAGTTTTCGATTTGAGCGTGTTTAATACTTTATATTTTAAGGTTTTGTATATCTTTGTTGTATTTGGAAAGTCTTAGAATATGTAAACATCGTTTTTAGACACGAATTAAATTATCGATATGATAGAACATGTTGTATAGTGTGTGTAGTACTGTGTTGCTTACAGCTTCCTATATGCCACTCCTGAGAATTAAAGCTGCGTTCACATACAGACGTCTCTTGTATGTACCAAATTTTAAAGAGAACTACATTTGTAGGCAAATATTAAAACATGAGCATTTACTTAGAAAATATAAAGAAAAATATATACATACAAGTTTTCACATACACATACTTACTTCTACATACTCTATTCTTCTCTCTTTGATCTTTATACGTACAAACTTGTACCTAATTTTTGTGTAAGCTATAGTCTGAATGCTCTCAATATATCGATCATGCTTTTTTACGTACTTAAGTATTTAACTAGCACTTTATTATTAATTCTAGAGAAATATTTACTGGTACACAAAGTAGGAATATAATGCGTATACTTCTAATTGAAATTCTTTTACAGCAATACTTTTAAGTGAAATCTGGGAATTTTTTGGCCGTCTCTGTTAACATAGTATGCGAAGTTATAAATATATAAATATAAATAAATTTAAACTAATCTTTCATCTTCGAGAAAAACGGTAAATGCTTTTCTCATTATCACTCTGGTGATGGAGCTCATTTATCGACGATCGTCTTATCGAGAGCCTATGCGTAGATTGCTTAATGTCCTTAATGGTTTATTACTTGTAGGGGAGCAACGCCCACAGTTGCTGCCGACTTTATTGTTTTCCTTAAAGTGATTTCTTAGCAATTTTGTTAAAAAGTTAAAAGCATCTTAGATGTTATATATACTTGTAATATCTATTGGCGGAATGGTGGTATTGTAATTTTGTTAAGTTGTTTTACAACCATCAGTGACCTATTTATTATTCATGAGTTCAATGAGCAAAATGAGGCGTAGTGTAGTGATTGCTCACTACACTATGAGATCTGTGTCTGTTTTATATTTGTTTGTGGCATTGTACCTCTCAAATTATTAAATTAAATCGTATTAAAAATGTCATTTTATATTTGAAAGCTTTTATATTTTAATAGTTATTTGATTTAATTGGTTTTTAATTGTAGTAAGAGGTAATTAGTTTACTTTTTTCATGTCGTATAAACATTTCTATGTTAAGAGGCCTTTAAAATTTGTCTTGTTTGCATAAAGCTATATAAAAAACGGGATCTTTGGAGTTCTGCTTCTAAAGAATTAAGGGTTTTGGTATACATTTTGGTTCCTGATTTATAAATAGATGGATTTATTCTTATGATAGCGTTTTTAAATTTCTATTTTGTCATTATTATTATGTATCAATTTAATTCTAATTTCCAAAACCGTTTATTAAAAAACGCTCATATGTAGAAGTTTGGGGTCGTTGTTATAGCAGTTCTATTTCAAATTTAATCTGAAGCTGGTATGACAACTTTACATTAACAATACTTTACTTAACTTTGCATGTAAAACTGGTATGGTATTGTAATTAAAACTTGGTAATTATTCTTAATCTAAACAAATTGTTCTTAATTGAATTCTACTTTTTACTAAATCTGACCGAAAGCATTTGAAAAACATTTAACAATAAGAATTTTGCTTAAAAATAATGAAGTTTAAAAATGTATTAAACATTTTTAAACTTGTAAAAAAATAAAGAATTTAGAAAAAAAAAGCCAGTGATAATATGTGTATTGTAATAGTCCTCTTAATAAAAAAATGGAATATAATATAGTATATTATTTAGATTATTATAAATTGACCAGTTATGTTTTTAAGACAGATTATTAACTAATTGGTATTTGTAGGTACTTATGAATAAGGAGAATATTTCTAAGCGATTTATTGTAATTTACCACAAAATGAGATGCAGCACATTAGTTTTTATTATCTACTTATATCAACTATCTATTTTTATATAATATAAATAACGTCAATGACTGTCGTTGTTTTGTTAGTATAGTATAAAGTTCGTAATCCATTTTGTATTGTTCCTATTAAATGATAAATTTATTTAACTTTTAATCTTAATATCTGGAAAACAATTAATTATTATTAATTATATAAATATAATGTAAAAATATAACAATTATAACATAGAGCTGACAACGGTAGGCGGTGATTTATATCTATTATTATTATCGTCTTTTGATTACACATTCAACATGATATTTTGCAATTTCGAAATATGAAAATTATATCTTTAAAATATACAATTTACGCCTATCGATTTAGGTTAGTTAAAATGTTTGTATTAATAAGTGCTCATTTTCGTGTTTACAGTTTTTAAATAATTGACGTTACAGACATCAAATAACCGATGGCTCTTTTCTACATTACTAGCGCCAATTTTGACATAGAAAGGGTTAAATTTGTTTATCTGTTGTATTATAAAATACCTACATCTTTTATACATTTCTACTGACAAAAAAGCTGTTTACAATATAACAATGTGGACTATATGTATTTTAATGTTTATGTGAATTATGTACATTAATACATATATAGATGTAAATTTTATATTATTAAAATGAAACTTATGTACAGAAACACTTACATTCCGATATTTTTTTTATAGGTAATAATGGAATGGTAACCCCACCCGCGCTATCGGTATACACCGGCGGGGTACCAGTGAAGTATGATAGATGAAGATGAATTAGTTCAGTTAGCCCATCGTGACGAATTCAACGAGAATTGTTCACGATGGTTTCCAGAGGGAACCACGTGGAGGTTGACCTGATTAGGGCTGATATTGTTAGCAATGGGGCTGTCAAACTCCATTGCTAACAATCCCTTTCTCCCATTCCGAGAAGATTGTAATATTGTCACATTGTAACTGGCAATTTTGCTCACGTTGCCGTGGAAATTTGAGAAAATCGCTTAGTTTTTTTTTCTTAATCTCACCTATATCATAGTAATATTTGTGTAAAATTTAAAACTTTTAATCTCAGCGGTATAGCTGTGAATTGTTAGTCAGTGTTACAGAAAGAAAAACGAGTTTAATTAATTTTACAAGTATTTATTTATCATTTAGTATGCTTTTTTATAAGAATCCACGAAATTTTGAACACAGATATAAGAACTTAATAATAGGATGGTGTTCAATAGATTGATGCATTATAGGAAGATAATCATAGAATTTTCATTGTACTTAAATTGATTGTATATTTAATGGCTTTTCATCATTCTTATACAGAGTATGTATAGGTCAAACCTATCATGCTATAATATTATAATGAATATATATGCATTCCCACTATTGAACATGGGTATCACATCGTAAGAGAAGAATATCAAAAACATTGGTTGGTCGGTTTCATTTCGAGTTTTCTTTGTCATGAATTGGCGTAGGTATAATTGTGCTTTGTTCCTTTAATCGCCTTTTACGACAGGGTGGAGATGAAATGTTTTTTTTAATGGATGATAATGGAATTGTAATCTTGCCTGCGCTATTGATTTACGTTGGCGGAGTACCAGTGAGTGATAGTTAAATCAGGATAAATTCACGTTTGTCAGCTTATTGTGATGAATACTTCAGGAATTACATACGATAGATTGCACGAAGAACCGCTTTGTGGTCGACGACTGTGGGGCTGTTAGTCTCCGTTATTAAAATTTCTTTTCCCTCCCCTCTCTGGGTACTTGAATTATTAATACGAACAGTATGGTTTTGTGGTCGATGTAGTGTGAAAGATTTAAAAAATATTTTTCTAGGGAGAACTTGCTTCGAGCCGAGAGAAATTAAAAAAATCCGATTCATGTAATGAAAACAATTGTTGATTATTTTAGATGCTTAACTCTTTCACTATTGTAACAATTATACTAAGTTGCTTTTATTAATTATAACATGGTGCTAATATTTTGTACTAATCGTATAGGTAACATGTAGCTACACTTAAGTGTCTAATTGAGTATATGTAAGTACTATTTTTACTGTTGACCCTTGAAGAATATGATATGAAATAAACAATACATCGCCAGTTTAAATTTGTTTTATTTTTTTATTGTAATAAAGGAGATGAAGTCTTTTTTGTTCTATGACAAATACAAACGGTCCTTTAACTACACACGTCATCACATTTTTAGTGTGTTATGCGCATTTTACACAATTATTAGTACAAGGTACTCGTGTATATTAAAAAAATAATTAAAAGTTTTTTTTTCTACAAAAATAGGAGACTAAATTCGATTGCATGAAAATCATTAAAACAGTGTAGAAAATAAATACTTAGGTACCGTCTAATTTATTTTTTGTGAAGTCCCAAACATTCCGTCTACTGCGTGATTTGTGACAATGTTTTCTATGTTGTATTTTATGCATCCAGTAACGAATTGGTGTAAACTCAGCTACTTGACGGCAGCAACAGAAGTAATTAATTAAAATACACTACATTAACTACAGTACTATACACTCAATTTATTATGATTTTTTGATAGGAATAACAATATTCAAGCTCTCATCTCAGTGGTGGAGAAATCTATTTACTGTATTAACATAGTATAAGTAATAGTACTATGGTAGTATTGGCAAAAATAAGTAAATAGGTAAATATAGGGTGCCGCAGATGTGTCACACGTGACTAATATATAATACCGTAAATATCAAATATCGAGACGCTTCATGATTTTTATATCTGACAGGGGAAGTTTTCCTTATAATTCGTCCAACTTGATAGATAAGTATAAAACTGTTAGAATAAACATAGGTATTTATACGATATGATATAAATAAGAAGTAGCTGCCATATAAATAACTTATTATTTGAGGTCGACTTAAATAACTCGGATATAATTGTTAAACAAAGCGTAGGTGCCTGTCTATTTAAATTATTGCAAATCGTTACTACAAACTAGCAGTGCGCGAATTTTGAATGATTTCGTTATTCGAATAATAACTAGTTTTATAATTCGGCTACTAAATTAGTAATATATTAATTTTCATTTTTGAATGATTTTACTAATTATTAATCTGATTTAAACTACTAATAATGATTATCCTATCCTATCCATTACCTTACCTAGGTGAAAATAGATGTCCAAAAAAAAACCAGCGGTCGACTCCTTTCATTTAGATATAGATTATAATAAATTACTACAAATTTACTTTGATAAGTATTAAAATTGCTACTTTTTACAAAATATAAGTAATATTGGTAACACGTTTGACTATTAACTAAAAAAGGACATTCCAAGAGATCGGGTTGACACGGCTACGTTCGTACCGATTCGTACATGAACACTACTAGGAGTGAGGCGTATTTATTATAACAGTTATAAATCACAAGTATTCGAAGATAACAGATAACAGTTGTTCTTGCAATACCATTATATCTGTTAAAAATATCATTAATTCACTATACTCATGTTATTCAACCACTGTCAACAATCAACATAATTTAGTATTCGATAACAGCCGGTCACTAATACAGCCTGAAATAACAGAACAACCAATAAAAAATTAAACAACTATTCTTGTCTTTGTCTTTTGTATAATATTGCCATATTGTTTTAGCTAAACGAGACATACATAGTATTTATTTGAAATAAACCAAAATTATAGTAATTCGTTTCATAAGAAGAAATCCTCTTTAAAAAGCGAATATTAATTAGATCGTATTATCTGTTATTTCGTTGATTAATTTAGCTCACTCACACCCATTTGATATACTGTTGCTAAAACGAGATGCACCTAATATTATACTTAAACTCATATTTGTATGTTATTTCCTTCATAATGGGCTGTGGTTGAAAAAGAACCTGTTATTTAATAACAGATAATGGTATCTGTTATTATTGCGTAAGAGTAACAGTAATAACAGATATTATGTTTGTCCTGTTATAACCCACATCTGAACATTACTAATAATGAATAGTTTTAGCGATTAGTAGAAACGTAGATTGAATGAAGTTTATAGTAGGATGAAATTTGTGGTCGAATAATTTGAAAATCAATCGAATAATCCAAATGAATTGCTCAGTCGAATAATTAGTAGTTTAGTATTAGTTGGATTAGTAAAGTCGCGCATTGCAACCACAAACCACATTGAGATGCCAACGTATTACATTACTTAATAAGTCCATAGTCGTTCCGAAATAAAAGTTGAAACTTTAATATTATTATTTTTATACAGTTTACAATAGTTTGTAATGAGCAAATAAATTACAAATACAAAATTTTTTATATTTGCTTATAAAGTGATATCTAATCAACTATACTATAATACTATATCAGTAAACAGTCGAGAAGGTCAGAGATGTTAGGTGTATGTTTCTGTTCTTGGAAATATGAATTTATTTTAATTTTGTAGTACATACATACAGTCCACACGTTCCTGGGATGAAGTTATTCTAAAAATATACGAAATTGTTTCCATGCAGTGAATGAAGTCGCTGTGGATAGGAATCCATGCCATGAAAGAATAGGCATCAAATTCAATTCTTCAGTGACAGTAACACCATTATGAATTGAATAAATTTAAGAGAAACAATAATATTATAATAAAAGAAATAAGTTGCATAGGTATAACCTGTTTCAATAGAACTCTATTAGTATATATATATATATATATATATATATATATATATATATATATATATATATATATATATATATATATATATATATAGTATATGGGGAAGGCCTATGTCCAGCAGTGGACGGATACTGGGTAAAATGATTATGATGAATCAATTCTATTTAGTACAACTATACCGAATTATAAGTATTGAAAAATTTATGAGAAAAACCGAATGTCGCCTAGTAAATTAGAAATATAGATCAAAGTATATTGTTGCTTAGATATTTACTGTCCAGCAAAAGTAAGTTTTTTCAAAATATTTGTTATCTTGAAGTAAGATGTATTATGTTATCCTTGCGGAAATTTTTAACATTAGCTTATAATATTTGGGATACAAATTTACAGAACTGTGGAAAAATAAAGTATATTAGAGATTTTTATGATTGTTATTTTTAATTCCTAAGTTTTATTTGTTTAAACATTTTTTGATTATATTGATATATTCAGTAATCCTGTCCTATGCTTGAAGAATAAAAATTATCTAAGTTCTAAATTCTTTTTCTCTATTCTCGAGTAGAAATAGGAATAGTAATAGGAATAGGAGTAGGAATATCTGATAATACCAAAAAAATATATAGACTGATCGTAGTTGCAACTAAAATCTGTGAAAAAGTAATTACAATTAATTAATATTTAAGTGACTAAAGTAGCTTAATTGTTCATTTATTGGTGTCACTACCCTATGCAGTTTAATTAACGTGCACCTTCATAGGCGCTTTGTAATGTACCGCTTTTTAGGATTTAGCTCAGTACGTCACAATATTCGACGTTGTATCGTACAATTGTACCGTTACAATAACATCATGCTATGTATATTTACAATTTCGTCACAGAAAATTCAATGCTTATTCATATAGTCGTGTCACCTTCTGTATAGTGACGGGAAACTCATATGGAATCGTGCTATGCTACGATAAATTATAAAGTAGTAGTGGGTACAAATAGGTGCACATTGCTTGCAGCTTAATTCTTAATTTTTTTTAAATTAGGTAATGCCGCTGGAATAATTTTTTGTTATAATTAACATTTAAATGAACATTCAAAGTCTTCAAAAATGGGCTCCAAAGTGAGAGACGATGCCACTTCCCTCATTAAAGTGATTACAGCTGGAAACGCGGGACAATGTTAATTCGATAATTATGTAAATTTAGCGAAATAATTCATTTGAATTTATGACATTCACATAGACCCGGAAATGGCGTCGTTTATATTTGGATCGTTCTTACAGTGTTCTGATATTCTGATGTTCGGTTTTCATTTTAATTATGATTAAAATTATGTAATAATAGACTTTATTGATTAATTTAGGTAACTATTTACAACTTCTTATAAGTAGATATCTAAACTTAACAATAAACCTGACGTTTTATAATACGCTAAATACGCTTAGTGATGTCATACAAAATGTTATATGTGCGGTCACCCATGATGGCATATTAAGTATGGACTTTAAACTGTTTCTCTGCAAATTCTTGAGATGTCTAAAGATTTTACGAGTAGAAAAAGACTAAAAGAAAATGATTAGCATCATATAATAAAAGTACTTGTATAGAGGTAGGAAAATGGGTATAATTTTCTTATTTATCTACGAGTAGGTATTATGTGAGTTAGGAAAGGCATTTATGCATGACTGAGTAACAAACATTCAAACATTTCACAAACTTTTACCTATATTTATAAACTCAGTAGGGTCATGTTTTTAATTTAGATGCTTTATTTTCCGTGTATTTGCCTATACGTACCTAAGTAAATTGTAAAAAGAGGGTACACCGCAAAGTAGGAGCGTGCGGGTATAGGTAGCTATTTGAAGCTGGCTAGCTTCCCTCACTGCGGTTAATGGGACTTTGAAATGGATGACGTCGTCAATAACGTTCTCTCCCGTCTGCTTTTTATGTTTTTACCGCTAATTGCCTAACTTTCTTGCTAATACACTGCATGCTTTTGATACGTCATCAATTTACTGAATATATACTGGGACCTTGTTCTTTTTTATATTCTCTTCTAATAAACAACAAATAACTCCATCACGTTCGCCGCTTCTATTCAGAGGTGATAGTCACTTTATATTATTACATTTTCTGAATACGGGACGAGTCGGTGGACCACGTATTCGTATCGATATTGACACTCGTGCGTATAAGAAGAAAATGTATAAAAGGTTTCTAAGAGCAAATTGAGTACGAACGTATGGATATTTCCAGAGCGGCGATCGTTCTAAAGGGTCTGGAGTCTCAGGGGAACGGCTGCCACTCGGCGAGGACCTCGTTACTTGTATCGCATCAACATTATCTACGTTGCCTAACAATAAATAGCTGTAATAAACTGAAAGGATCGACGTGTTTTTAATCACGGTCAGCGGTAATGGTAATTGGTTTTGGTGTTACTTGTTATAGACAGAAGACACTGATA